GGTAGTCTCTTATACACATCTAGATGTGTATAAGAGACAGATATAAGGGGATACATTAAACTACTCATCGAAAAGACCGAAAGTGTAAAAAAGGATGAAATGGAAGGCATTTTTCTTTTCAAACCTCAGTAGCAACGCCAACACCAAGGAAGCATACAGATTTAAATCACCCAGTTTTCAGCCCCAAATTGAGGAGATATGTGATTTCGAAGAAGATGCAATCCGTTTAATAGAGAATGTTCAATTCCGCCACAACCATAACAGTTTTCTTACCAAATTGTCAGACATTTATTCAAACAATTAATAATTCCGATGATATATTTGTAGCCGCTGACAAAACCAGAAATCACTATAAGATCCCAGCAGAAAATTACAAAAAAACTCCTACAGGGAAATGTATCCAACATTTATTTCATTTATTTATTTGTTCTTTATACTGGGTTTCCTCTTCAGTAACAAATTACTGTTCCCCCAGTATAAGAAGGCGACCGAGAAGGACATCGACAAAATTAACCAAGAATCACAACATATAACTTCAGCCTTTGGTCTGGATAACAGAATCAATAAAATCGCCCGAAAGCCAGCATTCATCACTATCAAAGACCACAAGACCTCATTTCCAACTAAAACACCATGCAGGCTTTTAACCCATCAAAACCAGAGATCGGTTCTATCAGCAATCAAATAGTGGACCGAATAGACAAAGATGTCACAAGTGCCATCAAAGTAAACCAATGGAGGAACACAGCATCCGTAATAAGCTGGTACAACACCATATAAGGCAAGCCCAATTGCACCTTTATTACATTCGACATCTGTGAATTCTACCCGTCAGTAACAGAAGACCTGCAACGAAAATCTCTGGAATTTGCTAAACAGCACACAGACATCAAAGATAGTGAAATGGAGATAATAATGGCATCTAAGCAATGTCTACTTTTTCACTATGATACACCATGGAAAATAATGTCTGCAGACAATTTTGATGTAACAATGGAGAGCCATAATGGTGCAGAAACATGCGAGATATCTAAATGCCGACTCGGATGACATGTTTGACGTTACTATGGGAAGCTTCGATGGTGGCCGAAATATGCGTACTTGTCGGATCCTTCGTCCTCTACTCCCTCATCCCAAAACTCGGCAAAACGAATGTCGGTCTCTACCGAGGTGATGGCCTCGCCGTCATGAACAGTTCATCACCCAGACAATGAGACGAAATGAAGAGAAACATTACATCCATCTTTTACAAAGAAAAACTGAAGAGCAGGTGGAAAAGAGAGAAATCAGATGACTTATAGGAGAAACTAGTTTGGTGGACTACAGTACCCTAATTGACAATGGGAGTCAAGTACCATTTTCCACAACCCAAATTTACTGTAACTGTAACTGTTGGAAAATGCAGCAATACTAGTACTGTAGAACCTATAACTCAATGAGTGTCCAGCCCCACAAAGACGAACTGAAGAGCAGTTGGAGAAGAAAAAAGTGTTGGTGGTGCAACTGTATGTTCTTAACAATAACATTTTAAATCGCTAACTAAAAAAAGGAATGTTAAGGATGTCAACGGTCAGTATTAAAATTTGGCGGCCATCTTCGATCTCTGCAACCGCTAATGGCTGAAATTGACTGTTGATGGTGCTACTATATGCCTCTAACATCTCAAATCACAGAATAAAAAACACCACTGTTTTATAAGGAATATTATTTTAGTTATGGTAAATATTACAATTTGGCAGCCATTTTGGTGGCCATCTTGGAGTTCTGCAATCGCTAATGGCTGAAATTGACTTCTGATGGTGCCACTGTATGCCCCTATCATCTCAAATCATAGGCTAAAAAAAACCATTGTTTTATATAGAATATTAAGGGACTTATGCTAAATATTTAAATTTAGCGGCCATTTTGCAGTGGCGGCGCTACAGGGGGGCCTAGGCAGGGCTACAGCCCCCTGTCGAGGAGGCCTTGCGCTCCCCCCCCCCTCGGCTAGAAAAACACAATCATCGGGGAGAAAAAAAATTATATGTATTTTGTACATATTAATAGACTCTAAAATCGATTAAATAAGCCTTTGAAACCCCTAAATCGTCATATTTTCGGGGGCTACTTCCCCTAGACTACTTGGATTTTAGCGACGCCCTACCACGCCCACTTTTTTCTTTGTCAGGGACATCATCCCCACATCAGAGACCTTGGACCCCCCATTGAGGAAATGCTGGTACCGCCCTGCCATTTTGGCGGCCATCTTGGACAGTGGTGTAACATTTAGCATCATTAGTATCATTTCTTGGTGTTTTAGTTCATGAAAACTTAAATTGGTCTAGCCATCAACAAAGTGTAGCAAATAAAATCTCAAAATACATTGGTATAATAAGCAAACTGAAACACTTTTTTCCTCTAACTATTTTAGTTTCTTTATACAATTTGTTTATTTTGCCCCATTTATTATATTGCAACATCATTTGGGCCGCAGATTATCCCTCAAATTTACAAAGAATTCTTATATTACAAAAATGGGTTGTTCGGTTAATTACATCTTCACCATTTAAAACTGCATCTGAACCTCTATTTAAAAAACTTAACATCTTAAAAATTAGTGACCTTCATAAATTCCAGATTGCTTATTTTATGTTTCAATATGTGAATAATTTAGTACCTGTATCAATCGCATTGCTTTTTTCTAACCGTGTAATATCTCTTACAGTATTAGAAATCCAAATTTAAACTTACTTACTTACCTTTTGTTAAACTTACTAAGAGTCAATTTTTTATTACATTTTCAGGTTCCACCATATGGAATAAACTAGATAAAGATATTATAAATTGTAAATCCCCGAAAACATTCAAAAGTCACATGAAAACAATATATTTATCTAAGTACAGGTCTTCTGACTGACTGATTGATTTGCGCTAACTCTAATTATTTTTCTCCATTATTTATTTATTTATTTATTTTTTAATTATTTTTTTCTATTCTATTTTTTTTAGGGGTCAATATGAGACAAGTTTTACTTCTAGTTTTGATCCCTGTGATGGTTTAATTTCGCTTGTTTAATTTTAAGAATATAATTGTTCATATGTATGTTTTTCTTTCTTATGACCATTACGAAATAAATGTTACTGAATGAATGAATGAATGAATAAGGTGATATCTCTTCAACCAATCAGAGAAAGTCCACCACACCCCAAGCTTGTATGAAAAGTAAAGTATTAGTTATCCAGAGAAGACTTCCTTCTGATACCTTGTCATCCTGTACAGTATGATGTTCTCATTTTGCATTTGAACCAGTTAGTGTTAAACCCACAATGATGACATTCTTATGGCTGCATACATTTTGTATTAGAACCAGTTGGTGTGAAATCCACAATAATAACAATCTTATGGCTGCTATTTTTATTAAATCGCTTTCTGAACATCGTAATGAATTGTCCATTAAATATTTCAATAAACTGAAATCCTCTGACTGTAGATTGCATTTTCTTTTACCTAATCCTCTCCACAATATCACCTCCATCACACCAGACAGTTTACCTTCCCTAAAAGTTAAAACTCAACATATAAACAAAATTATCACATTTCATGGAGTCTTTAATAACTGGTAAAAATTAATTCCTTACTGGCTTGTTGTATTAGTTCCTATGTATCTTTTAAAAGTTTTCTGAATTCAATCTGATATCGTGTTTTGCAAATTTATTATAAATAGATTTTTCACTTCATTCTTTGCAATTTATTATTTTCCATTACTGTACTGTAATAATAGTTGATATGAATGAATTGTTAATGAATTTTCAATCTCATTTTGTTTATCTTTGTTATTTATGTATCTAAATTTAAAGTCTGAATGTGGTATACATTTTTTTGTCTTGTAAATTTCATTCTTAATGCAAATTGTAAATATGCAATATTATTTTTTTTTACTATTGAATTCTGAAATTCAATAGTAAAAAGTTTTTGTATTGTTCATTGTTTATGTGATGTTATTATTTGAATAAATGTTTAAATAAATTAATTAAAAGTTCATGGTCCATCATTCCTGATGTTACCTTTATCAATTGCATCAATCCAGTCTTCAGTAATATTTAACAAGGCCAGGCCCGTAAAAACGTCCACTAATTATAACATAAAAAAATTTATACAGTATACCCCGTCACGGGTTCAATGGATAGATAGCGTATACATACAGTATAATTATGCTTATACCTCTGTATATGTTTTCTGTCGATGCCAAGAATTAAAATGTTGATTAATTTGTTTCAAATTCTTCTAGTTGTTTGAATCAGCTCATTTACAGTCGCTTTTAATCCACTCTTTATATCAAACTTTGCTATTATTCATTTAAAAGCAGAATTGATTTTGAATTTTTATTCGTAATGGTTACGAATTTATGCAGTAGTATTTTTCATTTGGGAAACCATCAGCTTGTTTCTCCATGTCCTCCACTGTTAATTTTTTTATAGGCCCTATCGCTGTGTTTACGGACATATAGAGATTAACATGATAAAATGTCTTCAAATTAGTCTACTAGGACGTAAGAAAGCAAATTTTTCCAGGGCCCCGACCGGGAGCCCTGGGCGGCCCCCTGGCCCCCCAGCCTGGTTGCTCGCTGCGCTCGCAAAACGCACCCCCCCCCCATTCAAAAAGCTGGATACGGCCCTGAAGGCTGATGTGATGGAGAAATTTGACCAGAACCCTGATTGTTGTTTATAAGTCAGGATAGCTGATTAAAAACAGTAGGTTAAAGAAGTTTAGATAAGATTTGCAGAATTCTAGACTGGGCGATAGTTGCACAGCCACATACTACTTTCATGAAATCTATTTGAGGTTGAATCCACCATGGTCTAAACTCATTTTTGCATACCACTTGAGTTAAAACAATTAAATATTTAATCCACAACATCTCTTGTCCGCATACTACTTTCACTATCTCCTGGCTACATTAATACAATTTATTTAAATTTTTTCCCCTCATGAAATTAACTTATTTCATTTTTTTTTTCAGGAGATTGCGAAACGATTACAAAAAGATGAAGTGAAAGAGATTGAAAGGGAAAAAATGGACAGAGAAAGTGAAAGATTAGCCCGACAACTTTCTCAACAAGAGGAAGTTGGTGCAGTAGGAGGTGAGTTGTAGTTGTCATTATAATGTGTTATACAAGGTTTTATTACTTTATTTTATTTATATATTTTTCCCCTTTTTATAGGCAATGTGTAAAGGGCATGTCAGAAGACGTCTAACCAACCTTTGTCTTCAATTAAGACGGAGTTAAGATCTAGAAATTTTAAGTTAACAGATTCTGTATGCCAAACAGCAAACTTTATTTATTTTTGCTGTATGTGAGTGACCTCATGCATTCCTGTTAAGAAATTGAGATGATCATGTTTGCAGACGACACAAATATATTTTTTAAGTACAATTATTTACATGAGGGTTTATAATTAAACAATGAGCTTGTTTTACTTTCTAAATGGTTTAGTGCAAATATACGTACAATAAATGAAAGTAAAACAAATTATGTTGTTTTAAAAGTAAACATAAATGTGTTGATAATGCATATTTAAAACTCTCTATTAACCAGGGTATCAAAGATAGTTGGTGTTCTCAATAAATTAAGCACATACATTGCCCCACAATATTTTACTTAAAAATCTACAATGCTCTAATCCTTCCACATTTAACATATTCAATTTCATCATGGAATTCTGCCAGTCCTACCAAATTAGACCAATTTCATATTCTCCAAAAAAGGCATTACAGGCTATATTTATTGTACATTATTAACAACCATCCTTACCTCTCTTCAAACTTTTTAATTAAAGTTATTTAAAAATTATTTACCAACTACATTTAGTTACCACTTATCGATTGATTAATTGACTTTAATATTTGAAAATAAATCCATATAAATATTAGTGTATTATTATTATTATTATTATTATTAGTATTATTAGTTATACTTGCTTTGTCTTTTTCCAATTCCTTATGATTTAATCATTTTATTTATTATAATTGTTATATTTGAATTATTCATGTTCTACCTGTATAATGTATTTTGATGATCGAATTGGAAATAAAATTGTATTGAATTGAATTGAAATGCTTATATTTCTGTTTTTAAGGTGTTCCAATGAAGAGGCAAGAACCCTTAGTGAAAGTTTTAACAGATGAGGTACGCATCATGTATGGAAATTTTAAGGAATTCAGGAATTTTGTTTTTAGTTTTGTATTGTAGTTGTAGTTAATCACAACATAATTTTTAATCACAAAAAAATTAAATTATTGTTTTTTTTTTTGTTTTTTTTTGGTGTTTCATTTTTTTAAAAAGGAATTAGCAAAACGAATGCAAGCAGCAGAAATAAAGAAAATGCGAGAAATGCACCAGCGAAGAGAAGCTGAATCTCAGAAATTGGCAAGACAAGTAGCAGATAATGAGCAATACAAGTCATCTGATGGTAAGTCTGTCATCATGATGAGTAGTCGTATACTCAGATCTACATCATCCAGTTCTATAATTCTTTATTGTTCTTCTGGTTCGTTAAAAAACCTATGGTGATATATCCTTCTCTGTTGCTGCACCTACGTTGTGGAATGACACCCAATTTCATAAGGTCATCTTCATCTTGGGCCCTTTTTAAGTCCACACTTAAATCTCATCTTTTTTCACAATTCTAATTTTGCTTTATTCATTTTTTATGTTGTTTTCTTTCTTTTTTCTTGACACTGGGTAAAGAATGCATGGCATAGAAACATTGCACTGTATTATGTGCTATAGAAATTAAAGACCATTACCATTATAATTTCCATTGTTCTTGGTGCTTTTTAAGAAAGTATAATACATACTCCAAGTACTGAAATACATGCCATCATGTTGGGATTCAATACTTCGACATTAATTATGTCATCATCAAGAAATGATGACATAATTTCTGATTTCCTGATGATGACATAATTAATGTCGAAATATTGAAACCCAACACGATGGCGTGTATTTCAATACTTGGAGTATGTATTATACTTTCTTATCTGAGATTAATCAGTGGACCTTTCGGTTTTTTGTGCTTTTTGTTATGAATATTAATATTTTGTGGTTAGGCCAAGCTCTGAATGCCCACAACAAACAACTAATCTTGCTCTACAGCATTGGTGACCATAAATGAAGCCTAGACTTTAAGGCTAGGCCTAGAAAGGTTCTGAGATAACAAGGTGATTGACTTAAAGCCAGGCTCCAAATGAAAAAGAAATTTGGTATGTTGTACAACTGATTTTTCAGACACAAGACACAAAAAGGGTGTTTGACGAAAAACGTGTGGAACCCGATACAACATATCAAGTGAATCGAAATATTAGGTTAAAAACCAGGCAATGGGTCCAAATGAATCCAAATATAAAAGGTTGTAAACCAGACAATCAGTCCAAAGTGAATAAAAATAAAAACAAGGTTATAATCCAGGCAATGGGTCAAAGTGAAGCAAAATATAAACATTATAAACCATGCAATGGGCCCAAATGAATCCAAATATAAAGGTTATTTGAAAATAAAATTATATTCCAGCATCTGAGATTTCCAATGGTGATTCACGGAGAACAGTTACAGGTTTTCCTAATGGAGCTGGTGTTACTGATTGTGATAGTGATGAAGACACAGATCACATAGCTCAAGCCACAAAAGATGAGGTAATAGGTTTAAATGTTAAATGTAACTCTATATGTATTTTGTTGTTTGTACTAGTGTTTATTTTTGTTTCTTTAAAAACTAGGCAAAGGGAAAACTATAGCAAGGTTCTGCATGACCCCGAGTGGGCATACCAATAGTGGCTCCCATTGTGATGAACTAGTGGAGTAAACAGCACGGGAGTATTCACCAGTTATAAAGGCAGCCTCCCTATTCACTATTGAAGGCTTGGGGCGTCTGTGCTACCTGGTGACATTAAGGTTCCCAAAGAGGGGCAGCTTACCCTAACTGAGTTACTCAATTGATATTGTTTACCAATGCTGCTTTAATTCATTTGAAAAAAGAATGCTTTAAAATCCACATATGTATGAAATATATATGAATGAATACTATTCATATTTGGCTTTTATTTTCATGTGAATAAAGATGGCTTGATGTTTAGTTTAAAACTAGTATATGTTCTGGTTTGAGATGTCTTTTTTTAATGGTGCCATTTTTTGCATTGCCACTTGCTGTACTCCATGATGCATTAAATATGATTATTTTATTATTGTAAGTTGCTAGTGAAAATAAATTGTATTACTACAGTATTTAATATTATGTATACTACTACTTATGTGTATTGTCAATGTTTGGTCAAATTAATGAAAAGAAAGTATCACCTTTACCAAATATATTTTATTCTGACAGATTTTAGCCCGTAAGCTACAGATGCAAGAGAACCAGCAACAAGGACAGAAGACAGAGGAGAAATTAAAGTTAATGAAGCATGATGAGGTATGTGCTACTTTCATATAATCACAGGCCAATGTAATAATAATAAAAATAATAATGATAATTAATAATGAAATATTTATAAGCGCACATATCCACTGAAGTAGTGCTCAAAGCGCTACAGAAGAAAGGAACCAAAAATTACCGTAGACCAAGCTTCCATCACTTCATCGTTTACAGGTAATTTGAGGCACAAGGGCTGGAATATTTATAACTCAAACAAATTAAGTTTGCAAGCAAGAAAAATAGAAAACTAAGAAACTGCATAAGCAGCAGATAGCAGATGTGCATTGAGAGGTCTGGCACAATCCATGGAACCAGCACCCAATAAACATGTAGAACTACTGTGAGCTTAACAAGCAGAAGTTTGTCAGTACCAAAACGGTGAGCACGTCAGCAGTTCATGAAGATACTTTGGATCTTCATCTTTCAGAGTCTTAAAAGTAATGAGCAAAAATTTGAAGATGCTCCTGAAAGGAGCAGGTAGCCAATGATGTTCTATCCTAGCAGATAATTTCTTCAAAAGTTTAAGGTGATGCATGTCAAAATGTACAGTAGGAAGTTTGTGGGTTGTGAAATTATAAATCATGTAATGCTTTCTTTTAAAATATTCAGATAATAGCAAGAAAGATGCAACATGAGGAAGCAATGATTGCTAAAAGGAAAGTGTACAAGAGATACCAAGAAAAGGTTGACAATGAAGTTGCATATTTAGAGGTAAATTGAAACAGTTCACTCACATTGTGTCACATTATTTTATGTTAAAGTATCCGACACATTCTTCTTTGATGTAATGTCAAGTTCAATATAATTTCCTTTCAGACAAATGTTATCTTGTATCATGTAATAATCATATTGGGTGATGATTGAAAAGTTGGTAATTATAGCCAATGCAAATATCACCTTTACCATTACAGTATGTAAACAAAGGGCTTAAAAAAGTTTACATCATATGTTAATTATGTGAAGGTCATTTCTGGATGTATAATATTTGGGATTTAGGACAAAACCCTACTTTAATTTATACATTTGAACTTGCCAAAGTCGAATAAAAAATGGCATTGAATTATTGTTTGACTTGCAGATTGTTAATTAACGGAGAACACAACAATTTGGCATGTAAAATAAGATTGGCACTGAAATTATTCGAGTTTGGCAAGTTTAAATGTATGCCATTTTCACCTGCCTTCCCTATTGTAGAAGTTCTTTCACAAGTCAAACCTACAATAAGCTAATAATTTAACTTTTTAAAGAAGTTAAACCTGAAAGTGATTACCTGTAATAAAATGTATAATTTATTTATATTTATAATTTATTATTCTTTCTTTCTTTCTTTTATCAATATTTTAAGAGGAATGTCCCACTCAGCAAAGCTGAGTCCTCATCACAACAGACAAATTACAAAAGAGACAAAAAGCAGAGCAAACTCCAAAAACAGCACATTCGTAAAGAAAAAAGAAACGTCAAAATAATGTTTTTATAGTTTTTAAAAATAGTATAAAAATATATCATTATTAAATTTAATTGTTTTCCTTTAAAAGCTATGTAAAAAAAAAAAAATAATGAATAATAAAACCAAACAAAAATAAAATGTATAATATATTACAATCTATGTTATTACTATGATTAATTATGATCAACAATAAAACCAAACAATTATTAGAAACTTAAAAATAAAGAACTAGTGAATATGGCCTTCCATTGCCTCACATAAACTAAAGCTCAAAGTTTGTCAAATGCTTTTTATTTGGAGATTTTTGTTCAATGTTGGAGTGCTATGTTTCTTTGTAAATTATGCTTCAGCTCTCTTATATGTATCTTGCAGGTCCGTAACTAGGAGGGTGCAGTAGGTGTATACACCATAAACCCTTTCCCCCCTCCTCCCCCGATAAAAAATTACAAAAGGTCGACATTTTAAGACTCAAGAATGTATTGAATGTTATGGTTCGGGGATTGCACCAGGATTGATTTGGGTCGATTCGTCTTGAACCCCAAATTGGTATAGACAAAATGATGAAGCACAACGACTACTTGATTACTGTCCTTTTCAAACTTTATCAAGGAATGGCAATCGCAAAGGAAAACGGTAACAAAAACTTCAAAAACAGCAAACGGAAACAGCCCTGCAAATTATATTAATACACATACAGAAATATTATGTATCGCATGACCATGACCATCAATATTCAATTGCATAATATAATTAACACCTCGACAAGATTTGATTGACAGATAAACCGACTAATCAGCGAGCGTCACTTAGTCACATGATCAAAAACTTTTTCTCAAACATTTTAATTTCCTTAGACAGCTGGTTGTCAACGCAAAACATACGTGAGCCTAGGCCTAGATGCATAGGCGTAGATCCTGGGGAGATGGGGGGATATGTCCCCCCAATATTTGACAAGGGGGGATGGTCCATTGCATCATCCCCCCCAATATTTTGACTATGTATGGGGTAAAATGGAGCTTCACACAATAATAATAATTTGCACTGTCTTATGTGCTTACAAAGATGAAAATTAGCATAATGTATTAATGTTGATAAAAAATTTATTTTATCTGGTACCAATCTAAGCTCTTCTTTCCTTAGATGTTAGATGTGCTTGCAAAGAGAGCCACATTTCACACTGAAGGGTGTGTACGACATCAGTAATGTAATGTCAATTTCAAGAATGTTTAAGCTTATATCGGTTGATGAGGAATTTATTGATTAGGCCTATAATAGTAAATTGCATCAATTTATTTTGCAAAAACAAGGTTTCCAGCTTCAGATGGGGGCACATCCCCTGTCCGCACAAGGGCACACATTGGGGCTAACACTAGGCGCGTAACAGGGGTCTTGGGTCAGAGTGGGTATTTATTTTTTTTATTTTTTACATTTTTTATTTCAACCATCTTTAAAGAGGGTAACCCTTCTAGTTTAGCCCAGTAGGTTAACTAATATTCAGGGGCCCTCTTTAATAAAATTAAAGAACAGTACAAACAACATCATTACAGCATAAAAATAATAATAATAATAATAATAATAATAATAATAATAATAATAATAATAATAATAATAATAACAATAATAAAATAACAATAATAATAACAATAACAACAACAATAATAATAATAATAATAATAAAAATAACATACAATCCTCATTTCCCAGTTAGTAATTTACCATACCCACCCCACCCCACCCCACTCCTCATATAGAAAACAATACGACATAGGGCTTATCTTATTTATAATATAGGCCACACACGTGTGTTTGAAACTAAATATAAGCATTTTCATCATGGTTTTATTTATAACAAACATATTCTTTCACCATGTAGTATACACATTGAGACCCTTCTTTTTGGTTAAAATGATCTATCTTAAATTTGTATTTCTTGAGTTTGGGACTATTATGTGTTTAAATAACTTTAAAGGATAAAACTAAAAAAGCCCTAAAAAATGCGCGCCAAGCGCGCAAAATATTTTTGTGTTTTTAATTCTAATTTCGTCGAAATCGATGAAAACTCCCTAAAATGTGCAATTTATAGAGGAAATTGGCCTACTGTAACAAGAAATGCGCGCAAAGAATTTGAGAATTTTAGGCACTTTCAGAGGATGCATTTGTCAAGGGGTGGGGAAAGATTTTCCAAAGATGGATATTTTCCCCTTGTCCCCTGGTGTTTCGTTGGAATTGATCAAAACTCCCTATAAGTGTAATTTTTAGAGGAATTTGGGCCATGTTAACAAGAAATGCGCGCGAAACTTGAGGTTTTTAGGCACTTTCAGGGGATGAAAGGGCATTTATAAAGGGGTGGGGAAGATTTTTAAAAGATCGATATTTTCCCCTTGTCCTCCAGTGGTTACGCCATCGGGCAGAATAGATCAAAGGAGTTATTACAGTTTTTGAAGTGGAGAAGGGGTTGCAGGGTGTTGTGAGTCTGGTCATTATGATATCTTCCTTTTTATTCTTGTCTTTATCTTTCTCTTCTCATTTTCTTTCCTTTTCTTTTCCTCTTCTTTGTCTTTCCCTCCCTCTCTCCTCTTTCTTTTCTCTTATTACCCAGCCTGGTACGACTCCCCGCGCCTGTTACGACACTGGCTAACATGCCAATCACCCCCCCCCCATGAAAAATATTTTTCTACGCCACTGCCTAGATGTCTGTGCTTGCCCAGATATACACGAGCAGTGCGCATCAGTAACTTGGCCTTTGCCGACAATGAGGTTGACTGAATGCGGTTTTTCTCTCTTTCTTTGGGAGCAAAATACAGAGGCTTTTACAATTTCCCCACCTGTTCCATGAAATAGATTAACACTATGAATATATGATTCATTTGCATACCACCTACCCTGAATTCAAAAGGTTAATAGCAAAGAAAAGGTTCGCCAACTCGGTAAGTCTGGCTGCCATTGTCTAAGGTTTTCCTGACTTTGTGGGCGGGGCTTCGCGTCCTTGTTGACATGTCAATTGCATAGTGTATTGGCAAAATAACTTTAGTAAACATCAATCAGTGAACAATTCAATGAAACTGCACTGCAAGTTAAGCATAAGAACGTATATTGGCAAACACTTCACCTTATAAATGCCAATAAGTAAACAACCCAGTGAAACTACACTGGCCAGACATTGACCATTAAATGGCTTTGACTGTGTTTATTACGAATTAATTTCATTTCATATGTGAATTATAGATAAATAGCAAACAATTAACGTCAGCATAAATGGTTATGAACAAGCAATACCTGGATCAATCACTACACAAATCTCATATCATGGTTATCAACTTATGGGGGGGGTGCGGGGATGAAACGATTGATTTTTAATTTAAAATAGAGGGATGGGCGACCACAATGACGGTGACGGCACTCGATTTTGGAGCGCGGTATTCGAAAACGAGGCTCGTGAACTGGGTCCCCAAAAAAAAACTGGTGCTACAGGATTTTGAGCTAGTGTTATAAGATAGGGAATTTCCTAAAATGTACCGACTTTCAAAGGCTTGCATTCGGTAACCCCATAAAAAATCGTGTCAAACTTTTGATATTCCAATGTAAATTTGGCCGTTCTTGTCATTTATATGGGTTTTTTATGTGTAAAATAACGATTTGTCCAAGTTTTTATTTCGGAAATTTGCACTAGACAGGGAGTCAGCTGATTCACTCAACTGTAACGAGCTGGTAACGAGACACAGCCAACTGATGAGAATGGTCGTCGCGAGCGGAAAATTGAAAAATTAGGACTTTTTATTTCGGAAATTTGTCGAAGTCGAAGGCGTTTTTGAAGAATCAATATCAAAAAGATATGTTTGCTGGTTTGGATAAGGAAGTCTTGGAAGTGGTGATCTTAATAATGGCGTTAAATAGGTTTGTTTAATACCAACTTGTCTTACCTGTGTAGGCATAGCCTAGCATTTAGTGCAGTACTGTATGTATGTAGAGAATACGGAATACTACTCTACTGCGTGGCCTAGGCCCCCCTAGTTTAGGCCTAGGCATACAAACTATAATAATAATATTTTAAACATTAGAGGCAAACAAATAACACTATTTTAAATAAAGTACATTAATTTACATGTTAATTATTAGATTCATGGAACTATCTAGGATCTACTACTACTACTGCATTACTAAAATGCCAGTTTATTCGTCGTGGAATGTGGATGATACCTTGAAAACTAGCTCAAATTTGCGCGGAAAATGGCTTGGAAAAATGTGCAGAGATACATTAGCAATG